TCATTTAATTTATTATTTAATTTTTTTGCAAATTTGTGCAGAACTGCAATAAAAAAATTTTTCCAATATTATAATCATATAAATTTTAATAACATCTAATTTTAGCATTATCTATAACAGTATATATTAAAATTTTACAAATAATTTTTTTTGTTAAAGCTTAAAAAATAGATTTTTAAACAAAATTTTGAGATAGAGGTGTGGTGACTTAGTGTAGTGGTCTAGTTGTTATCTTTTTCAAGAGGCAGGTCTAGAGTTCGAATCTTATAGATGAAAAATAGACCTGTGTTCGGTTGACAGCTATGCTTATTGGTTGGATCTAGAACTAAATCTGGAATTTCAGTTATATCATCTAGTAATGGGAACTTTGGTGCAATAAACCTGAAGAACCAGCATAACTGAAAACCTATTTGAGAAAACCTGAATTTGGAGATAGCAGTAATCTTTAACAGTATCACAGAAGGGCTAAATTTGAACTGGGCTCAAAATTAGAGAACCAAGTAACCAGGTTCTATGGTGAAAGACACACTAGCCAAACTGCCAGTTTGTTGCACCAAAAAAAAAAATCATATGCTTTGAAAGTATAAACCAAAGGAGCATATCTTTTAGATATCTAAAGCCTAGGCAGACTAATTTTTCCAGATTGCTAGCTGGAAATAAGAAACCAATAAAGAATCTGAGTAAGAAGACAATCTAAATATAGATATTGGGGTTGTTGTAAACCAAATAAGGGCAAGAGTATATAATGAGTACTTAATTAGGAAAGTTGATACTTAAGAAATGTCTGTAGAACAGCAGCACTCCAAAAGATAGTATGAGATATGCATATAGAATGGCAGGCCAATATATACTAATTAGAAAGCCATTACAGAACATGCAGATAAATATATGTATAGAACATGTACTACTTTGTTAGATTTATCTCGAGGATAGATTAGCTAGAAATGGTTAGTAAGTTCTAAGGCAGTTAGTGTATGATATCTAAAATTAATCTATAAATAGTGAGGAAACCCAGGATTAGGTAGTTAAATAATGACAGATAGTTTAAATAGATACTCCCCTAGTTGGGATGCAGGTATGGCAGATAGTGTAGAACTTTTGGGCAGACTACTTAAATTAGGCACCAAAAGTGTATATGTAGCTTAATATATTATTATTGTAATTGCATAATATCATTTCAAATCTTAATAAAAAGCTTTTAGACCAAAGAGGTCTCATCTTCTTAACATTAAAAAAAACAAACAAAATTTTGAAATATTATAAAATTTTAAAATTTTTATTTTTTTTATTTTTTTTTTAAGTGAGGTCATGCCTTGTAACTTTTTTATTATTATATATATATATATATATATTATGTAATATATACATATTAAGGACCTGCAGGTCGATAGCATAGTGGTTATGCTTCTAGGTTAAAATTAGAAAGTTGCTCTCTCAGCGGTGAAATAATGAAAACCCAAATATGGAAGTGAAACACCGCAGAGTACAGAGAACTTGGGACATCTACGGATGAACGTATTCGGGGAATAGTTATTCTGAGAAGTTGTAGCTGTGAAACAAGGCATGTTAAAACTCCAATTTGGAATAACTGAAGTCACGAGACATAATGTGAGGCCGAGTTTGATAAAGATACTACAAGAACTCATAGCGACACCAGATTGGCTAGTAAAATCCCAATACAATAGAAAGGTAATTCGACCTCTCCGGAGTGTTGTGCAGGTGGTTGGATCTAGACCCTAATAAGAGAACTAGAGAATATCAGGCAATGGAATTCCAGATGGATAATATATAATATCCATATGGAGTTATGAAGGTCTTGTAACACTAAGTAGTGTGCGTACTAGAGTCAACTATATAATAGCTGGGACCAAAGTCATAGCGAGACTTGCCAAAGATATAAAAATATATATATATATATATATATATATTCTTACAAGTATATATAGTTTAAATAGCTCTTGGCTACTATCTGTAATATAAACCTACTAGAGTATTCCATATCCTACTTATGTACTATCTGGATTTGACTACTATATTCTAATTTGTATACCTTCTATATTTACTATATCTCTCATACTATATACAACTCTCTTTTTTGGTATTTACTAGAAGGCCTTTATAATTATAATGATTACTCCCAAATTGATAAGACCACTCAGCCTTCCTATTTTAAGTTTTTCATCTAACTATTATAGATTCCACATTAACTATTAGTACCAATATTGAGTATATACTCAACAGAATATTAACCAATAAGGTAGCATTATGGCTGTTTAGCATGAGTTATAGTCTATTAATGTTATATATATGTTGTATACATTGCCAATTCTTGATAACAGGTACTCCTGTCAGTTGGTGTTATGTGAGAGTAAAAAAAATGATTATAACAGAATTATTTTTAATAGTGTTTTTCATATATAACACTTTCAAATTAGTTGCTTGGTATTTCAGTATTAGTGTTTTTCCTCTCTTTTGTGTATTGCTACACTTCTAGCCCAGTATCACAAGCTATTTCATTAGTTTTATTATTCATACTCCAAGTTTTAGTCAACTCTTTATAAAGTTTGTTCTTTTTTCTTATTAGATAAGTAGTTGAATTGGTAAGGCCAATTCTTTATTACAAATCATATTGCATTTTACCACTTTTCTTACTACTTCAATTCTAGCTACTTGTCTAGTTGTCCCTCTAACCAAGATTTCAGTGCCACTTTAGGGTTGTTGGTGCTACCTACACCAATCAAGAATTTATATACACAACCTTTGTATAGTAGGATCTTCTGCAATATTACTTGTTTATATGTAGTACCATCTCTCTGCAAATAGATTTCTTTCTGGAAATTTCTATTTCAAATATATATTCACTTGAACTTTATATATATAAGTATATTCAAATATTTATAAAAACTATATTCACTAAAACTTGAATCTAAAACCTGCCTGTGGAGAGTTGAGTACCTAGACTACTAGGCCATGAGATTCCAACTCTTAAAATTTTCTTTATTTTTATTATATAAATATAATTTATATATTATATTTAATTCTTAAATTTAATTAGTTAATTATTAAAAAGTAATATGTAAGTTCTTTGCAGAGATGCAATATTTACAGTATTTAAATAGTATTTAAGTCTTTTTTAAAATATAAATTTATTTTTAAATTGGATATTATTTTTTTTATACTATTAAATTTTTTGATTAATATCTATACTTTACTTAATATACATAATCTAATTATTAGATTTAATATTAATTTATAATATTTAATTTATTTATTTATTAATTGCTAATTTATATAAATAAAAATAATAAAATTACAGGTAATCTTATTACTCACTAGTGGTGAATTTCACCAACCTAATTAGAATTAAAGATCAGATATAATATACAAAACAAATCTGTATAACAAAAATAAAAAATTTAATTAATAACTCAAAAATTTACTTATGAAACTACTCTTGATATTTTAACAAAAAAAAAATTTCTTATAAAATTTTACTATACAATACATTCTTTTCTAAATCTAATATTAACTCTAACTCTTATTCTAATAATTAGAAATATAGTATTTATTTGTTTTGCCATGCATAATTGTCGCAGATTAAAATGAAATGAAACGGGGGACCTCTCTCGCTCCCCTTTAAAGCTTATAAAACCCACTTATACTCTTTTTTAAATAAACCTAACACTAAACCCTAACCCTAACCCTAACCCTAAAAAATGTCCCCAAAATTTTTTAAATCGTCCCTAAAAAATATTAAAATTTTATTTTAATCTGATTTTATTTTAATCTGTCACAATCATAATTATGCATAGATAATTACTGGTGAATTTCACTAATAAATGCTAAATTAGCCCTAAAATTACAGTAAATTAAAAGATTAAATTAAAATTAAATCTATTCGTTGCTAGCAATTATGGTTCCAAAAAAATCAGATTACATAATTCATAAATTTCAAAAGTTTAAAGCAATACTTATAAAACTAAACTTTATATTTTAAAAAATATTTATTGTATAATTTTACTATATATTATAACTTTATCTAACTCTAAATAAAATCTCGTCACTATTATTAGTGACAAATAGATATTTTAAAAAAAATTTTAATAATCAAAAAATTATTAGTTATATATTTATATTTCATATACTGTATATACTATTACAATATATAACAAAATTTGGTTCTACTATATTTATATAAAATATAATACATAGTAAAAATTGTTTTTTTTATTAAATATATTATATATTCAGTATTTATATAGGCGTGATTAAATTTTTAATTTAATATAAATAGTTTGTACTACGAATTATGACTAAATTATCACATGATATTTTTATATATAAGAGACTTTACAAACTCCGTCGGACTTTATGATACATATTTAAGCGCATATGCCACATTTTTAGAATGCCAGATCAATTGATTCAAGTTTAGGGTACGTTAATTTTATAATTTTATATAAAATTATTATAGTCGAATGAAATGTGTCAAATTGGTTAGTATTTGGGATGATTCAGGACTATAATACTAATCGGAGTTATCCGATTTTTTTATATGTGATCATCATCATTATCACCTTGACATTACTTTGACATCACAGTAGTATGCTTTTTACTGAACTGCAATGTATCAAAAGTCGTAATCGAGTTGATGTATTTATTTACTACAAGATCTTGTATATTATACTTTTCGTATTATTAATACAAAATTTTAAATCAATTGATTCTGCAGTTTTGAAGTATTTCGCCGTAGATATAAATACAGGTGCAACTCCCCTTAACTCAGTCTATCTCCTTTCTCCTAAAAGATCCATTTATAAAATCCGACCTTTTCTTTACTTTCTTTTGCAGCAAACTCCACGAACTATTTTCAGACTATATATATAATATATATATTTTTTTCTTTTTCTCTTTCTCGTCTGAGACGGAACATCACGACACTTGCGTTTTGAGACGTATAAGGTATAGCACAAAAAAAACCTTGCTATATAAAAAGAAACATGCCTGAAAGTGTCACTACAAGTAATCAATACGGATACGAAAATCAACAACAAAGAGCAACGGTTCCCTTCCAGCATTTTCCTGCGGTCACACAAGTCACTAATAGCTTAAACCAAATGCCACAAGTAACTACTTATTCATTCGTTCCAACACCATTAATTGGACAAGTATCACAACCTGCGACCGGAGTAAAGCCCAAAAGACAACAAGTAAAAAATGCATGTGGTAAGTTGAGTCTTTATTTCACGTGATATAGTCAAAATGATGATCGGTAAAAGTTGCCTGTCAGACAAAGAAGGATCAAAGAAAGATATCTGATTTCGAATAAATAGAATAATTCTATGGCACAAAACATATATTTCACGTGTAAATCGGAAAATTATTTGAACTCATGTGTTGTGAAAATCCGATTTTTTGGATTTTGACCAAATTCGAAAATAAACAAACAAATATTCATTTCCCGAGATATCGGAATTTGACGCGTGTTACACGGATAACAATTCTTTTTTTTTTTTTTTTTTTACGAATAATAGTAAATTGTCAAAAAGCGTGCAAGAAATGTGATGATGGACGACCATGCCAAAGATGTATTAAATATGAACTTACGGATACATGCAAAGATTCTATTAGAAAGGAGAGGAAAAAGGGTATCAAAAGGGGTCCTTATAAGCGTAAGCAACCAACAGGTAATTAAAATTACTTGAAAATTTTAACATGAATATTTAATTAAATTATTAAAATTATTTACGCATATTTATAATATAGAAGGAGGATCGACTAGTACTAACACAGCTTCTTTGACTCCTGATGCTGTTCCTTCAACCGCTCCGGTGATGCCTCCTGTCATTCCTAACGGTGGCGTTTCCATGCCTTTCAATCACCCCATACCTGTTAATTTACCATTGGCAGCACTGCAATTCCATTCTGCAGGAGCTCCTATAAATGTTGCTACTCCAGAAGGTTTAGGGCAATTTATAATGATTCCCGCAACTAACGGAGCCACACCTTATTATCTTCTTGTTCCATCGTCTCACTACCCACAACAATCATCTGCAGCAAATCAGAAACAGGAAACGTCTATCACTACCAATCAGCCACAACAATCTTCTGTTACCAGTGATCAAAAGCAAGTATCTTTTTCTTCATCAGAATCACATTTATTACAAATTTGGCAATCAGTAACCCAAAGTAAAAATAGTTCAAAGGAAATAGCTGAGGAATCTAAGGCAAACGAACAAACGGAAAAGAAAGTATCTATTGCTTCTAAATCAGCTAATGAAAAGGATGAAGAGGAGGGTCCTAAAGATGGACAAGGGTCAAATTTATCGGTACTTTCTCTTGTATGTAGTGAAATGCTGGATAAATCTCATGATCCATCTAAACAAAAAGGAAAAAAATCAACGGAAAGGCAATCAACGATCAATAATGAACCATCGAAGGATAAATCGTCACCGAAGGGTTCAAATGGTAGTGCAACACCAAATATTGAAAAGGTTCATTGTGGTGTAGTAAATGGAAATAATGAAGTTTGTAGTCCAGAACAAGCTTTAGAGACAAAGGAATCGTCGAGTACTCCAAACGTTAAAGAAAATAAAATCACTCGTGGAGAAAATAATTTAAACCGACAAGAATCAAAAAAAGGAAACTTTGTTTCATTGGCTGAACAGTCGTCAGCTGCAACACCTATGCAAACTGACGTAGTAGAATCACAGCCCCCGACATTTGCAATTCCTCCGGCTTGTAGTCCGCTAGTTTTTTCAATTCCGGCAAATTCTTATTCGGTTGCACCAACTCAAGTTGTTCCAATTAAACGTGAGATGACATTTAGTAGTGTTAGCGCTTCAACAGATTTTAAACGCGCTAGACATTCATTAATTAACGATGCGACGCAAGGACAATTTCAACTGGAACAGCCTTCATTTCCTCAACAACAAGTACCTATTACGCAACAATACTATGTTTCCGGAGTTCAAAATGGACCAAATTATCTTCAGCCATCTCCAAATCAACAACCCAGAAATCCGATCGAATCATACGAAGGTCAAGGAACACTTTTTGCAGGAGCAAGATTTATAGATCCAAGATTACCATCCCCAACATCTTTCTCATACGTTTATAATCCCACTATGAGTAACAATCATGTCCTCCAATCTGAAGTCGATGGTAAATCTTTTGGTTCACAATCACAAGATCTCGATTTTTCTAATACTTCTTCCTCTGGACCGGCGAAAGCATCAGAATCTAGCATACATAACAAGCAAGCTTTTTCGAACTTCGGGGGGAATTGATCTTCAAAAGTCTATAATAAAATAATCATCGATGTTTATTTAATGATTGGTGTCAACATTATATGAAGAGGGAAAAAATTTTTTTATACGTATTTGATTGTGGCTATGAACATTTCAGTCTATGTACTTCTTTCATGCATACTTCTTAGTATATATTATTATATATTACAATATAATAATCTTTTCCTCGATTTAGCAAATATCTGTAATGAAATTCAATTAATTATTCAAAATACAGAATATGTACTGTAGTAGCAGAAAAATAGGTAATGATGATAAGTTGGTAATTTTGATTGCTTAATAAATAATTCATATTTTAAAAAAAATTTGGTCTTTTGAAATTTATGCAAATGTATTAATGTTGGCGCTTCTAACTTTAAAAAACCAATGAATCGATCGGCAGTCGTCTATGATTAAATTTCTAGCGCTAGACTGCTGAAAGTCAATTACGTGTGTAGCTGAATTTAAACTAAAACTGATATACAGTATATACTGTATTCAAATAACTTTAATAAGACAAACAGCTTATGAAAAAATTTATTCGAATAACTTTGTATGGCAACGCTTTTTTAAGTGCATCTAACCAAATTTAATGAATATTCTATAAATGCGCTCACTATATAAATTATCTTAAATTTACTGTATAGTCTGATTCTTATTTATACGAACTTTATAAAATTTTGCTCTCAACCTGTAAATGCATGCCTTTCTAAATGCGCATTTTATCTTTTTTTTTCTGTTAATAGTCCTGAAGAGATGCATTTAGAGAGGTGTTAATTGTATAATGATAAGATAGAGAAGTGACATTCAAAACGAAAGATTTGTGACGGCTGAGGCTAAAATTGGCTGAAGTTGAAATTTTGAACCTATTTTAATAAACTTTTTTTAGGGCCGCATTTTTTCTTTTTAGAGTTAGAGTTAAGATTTAGGGTTAGAATTGTTAATAAAAAAGTATTAATGGATTTTAATACTGTAGGTTACATATGTTCAAACGGAGACTAAATTTCAGCTCCAGCCCTTCAGCTACAACAATTTCTTCACGTTTCAGCTTTGCTATTTTTAACATGTCGAACATTCGCTATTTTTTTCATGAAATGCACCTAGTACAGCAGTATTTATGTTTTTGGTACGATTCGCGATATAAAGAATATTGTATTCGGGGAATGAATATTATAAAATAAAGGAAATATTTCGAAATTGATTGCCGAAAAAACTGTCGGAATTATGATATTAAAAATAATCACTAATCATTAAGAACCAAGCATAACCAAGCATCGCCCATAGTAAGGATTTTCGCTCGTGCGAACTTATATGGCCATAATGACTGTATATATCAGATATACGTACACACGTTCATAGGCAGACATTCGTATGATTGGCTGTTTAAATCAATTTAATTTTACATTATTTATACAGTTTAAAGTACTT